TCTGTGTTCCAGCTTTCTCACCAGAGCTGACTGGGGAAGGTAGAAGTCACTCAGTAAACATGGCCGAAGCTCAGCACCTGAAGGTGGAGAAAGTATGTCCTTCTTGGACTTACTTTTCTTCATCTTTATCTCCTCCTGTCTCAGTGTGTCCAGATTCAGCCTGAGGCACCCCTCCTCCCCCCACCTTCCCTGTTGTGGATAGCCTGGGGCCTTGTATTTTGATGTTAATTCCACTTTCCTGGGAGGGGCTGCAGAGGAGGAGTGAATCAGGACACAGGTGACTTCTACTGAACCTTCTGCCCACCTTAATATGTAAAATGAAGGCTAGAGCCAGTGATTGGGCAGAGAAGGGGAGGTGGACAAATAAAGATTGGTGGGAAGAGAGAGAATCAGAGGACAACAGAGGAGGAAGACAATGGAGGAGCAGAAGGTGGAAGGACAAATAAATGCCTGACTTAGAAAACCCGCAAGTTATAAGGGTCTCATAGCTGGGGAATAGAGTAGTGTAGTGGTGAATCTGCCCAATCTAGGCGTGCAGCTTATATTCATAATTATTGAGTTGTGTTTTCTTTGACCGGTCATGTTTGGGTTGGAGATTTACAGCAACACTTCTCTACTCATCCCTCTTTGAAAACCAAATGGCCAAAGCTTGCAGATTGCTGGTGTCATTTCCTTTCATACATGACAGATCTCAAGTTGTGCTGATGTCCTGATTTCCACTGTGTGGGATAGCCTTGTTTTTTTCTTTTTTTCTTTTCTTTTTCTTTGTCAATGTAACAAATACCTTCCAGAGTTTAAAAAGAACAAAAAGGCATGTTGGCTCATGGTTTCAGTCTGTGGTCAGCTGACTTCATTGCTATGCCTGAGGTGTGAACACTGGGTGCTTCTTCCTGTTGACAGGAAGCAGGGAGAAGATAAGAGGGCCAGGGTCCAGGCATAGCTGAGAAACACTTACCCACAGTGACCTAATTCCTTCAAGTAGGCCTTCCTGCCTAAAGTTCCCACCACCTTTTGACAATGTCCCCAAATGACAGAGTTATCAATGGGTTACCCCACTAACTTCAGAGTCGTAAGAGCTAATCACCTTTCAGGGTCCTCAACTCTCTAAACATGCTGCATTAGGGACACTGTAACAGTTGGAGGGGACACTTCATTTCCTAACTAGAGTCCTTACCGTTAACAAGCTCTGCCGAGGTTAGCAATAATTGTCAGCTTTGATCAATTTAAAGTTGGCTGAGAAGAGTGTCTCAGTGGGGGACTGTCTAGACAGGTTGGTCTGTGTGCATCTGGGAGGTATTGTTTGTATTACCTCAACTGCTATAGAAAAAAACAGCCTTGGAGTGGGCAGCACCAACACCCACTCAGGGGATCTTGAACTCTGGAGTAATTGAGCTGAGTGCACACAGGTATACCTGGCTCTTTTCTCTCAGCTGTTGACTATGGCCACAATGTGATCAGCTGGTTTCAGTTCCTGCCTTGACTTCTCTGCAGTGATAACATGGCACTGGAGTTATAGTAAGCTTCTCTCCCCTAAGCTGTTTTTTGTCATGGTCTTTTTATGACAGCAACAGAAAGAAACTAAAACAAGCTTATTCTGTAGAGGGAAAAGTTATGGATACTGGGTATATAGAATCCTTTTTAGATATAAAATATTCTTTAGGCTTTCTTTAGGAATGTGGAAAGACCAGTCACCATTACTGGAACTGGCCGACCCGCAAAGAGAAAGGAAAGAATGCAATTTAGTCAGGTGGAACCAAGCTGAGAACCATAGTGACAGGGCAAGGCCGAAGTGACAGGGCAGGACTACATTCTTGAGAAAGATAAGCGTACAGAGAGTTTTCATCTGATCCTGACTCATGTAGGTTGGGTTCCTTTGGAATGTTCCACTATTTTTATGTTATACCACCCTAGCAACCTCCTCACCCCCTCCTCATTTCCTTGGTTTGTGGTTTTTCCCTTTAAAACCCGTTCCAAACTGGCAGTCGGGGTCAATTCAGCTCCTGCGTGGGCATACGAATTGACCGGCAGCTAGTTGTCACGCCCTAATAAATAACCTCGCAATTGCTCTGGTACATGGTGTCTCGAGCAGATTACTGGGTGGTCGCGACTTTCTGAGACTTGAAAGAGGGTCTCCCCTCTGTGGAGGTCTTCAATTCCTCATGTATTCTTAGCAGGAGTCTTCATTACTTAATCTAATCTTTCTCATTAAGGAATTATTTTTAATATTTAATGTGTTTAAATTTTTTATTATGTGAAAGTATTTTCTATTTATTTCACCTGTTTTCACTTCCTTGCCATTATATGTAGTCTGCTGAATAAGCCCAGAGGCCTCATGAAGCAAAAACCCAACATTAAGCTCTGCTTATATCAGTTAAAAGCTATGTAATTTTGAGAAATAAACTATATATAAAACAGGTTTTATATAAAACAGATGCCAACCTCTCAGAGTTACTGTAAGATCCATGAATCATATGAGGCCCCAGACATAGTTGAGACTCCTTGATCCATTGCAAGCAGATAATACATCCTGTTATAATAGGATATACATACAGATAAATGTATACATATATAGCTAGACATCTATGTGCATATATATACATGTATATCTACACACACACACACACACACACACACACACACACACACACACACACATCTCACATGGTTCTTTTGGTTGCTGTTCCTGCCCCACGTCCAAATTGTAATCATTTCCAGTCTCTCTCAGGTCTTACTTCTTCCCTCTACAAACCTTGTTCTCTCCTTTCCGTTGCCTTTGAGAACTCTGACATGCATTCATCCCAGACATGTCTTCTGACCCACTTTATACAGTGGTCACTAAGTAAAGTCTTTACTTAGTAGGTAGATGATACAAAAGGAAGAAGATGTCAGGACAGCTACTATTGATGGAGACCCCACCTCCCCTCAACCCCTCTGCTGTGTTTACAGTAACGAGAGCAAGTGTACAGTGGGGATTCCCAGGTTCCCAGATATTCCCAGATGACCACAGCTGTCTGCCACAGTGTCCTGTTTATTGGTGTCTCCTTTATTGTCCCTAATCTTTCCTAGGACAAGCACCATTGCACCTGTGGAAGCTTCTAGGAGCTGTCCTGTAAACAAGCACATACATCAGAGTTTGGTTTCACATTTTGATTTCTGAGAAATTAAAGAAAGAGCTAGCTAGCATTACTAACCCAGAGTGAGTTCTGGGGGTTCATTAGTTTTCTACCTCCACAGTTGTCTCTTAGTCTCAATATTCTATGCATTCTGATATGTTGTGTCTGTGTTTTAGTAGTTAATTACAAAGTCAAGATTCAAAATAATTGAATAATTTGATCTGGGTTATAGATGATAAGAAATAGATGCTTAAATATGGGGGATACTCTCTAGGTCCCACTCCTTACTGGGGTGCTTTGGGGGAAGGGAGAATCATTCCTTTTTCAGGGTGTGGCCACTGGTTGTCCACGGTCCAGTGAATGGCTCCATACCCTGCACTCGTGAGCAATGATACTGCACTTATTAAAAATGAAGGCAAAGGAGGGAGTTGGAGGGGGGAGTTGGGGTGATACGGTGAGATGTATGAAATCCTCAAGAGTAAAGAAAAATTACATAAAAAGGAATCAGATGCCTAATTGTTAGTTAATAATCATTTAGAAAAAAAAGGATAAAACATTTTTAAGTTAAAGCTGAAAGAGGCACATTAAGACACAGAGCTGAAAAAAGAAACATAGTGTTGGATAAAACTGGATCTCTCTGTCTCTCTTAGGCTTAGTGAATATGGAGAAACTGAGGCACAGAAACAGTATAATGAGGGTCTGAGTGAGCACTGGGCACCGCAATGCCATTTACACAGCGACTTATAGTTCACTTTCTTTATTCTGGAGAATAAGGAAAAGAAGACATGGTGGCAAAGAACTTCCCAAATCTCACAAGATGAAGCTGATTTGGCGTCCATGACATTAGAGTGAAGGGAGCCTTCCTGATGCTTAGTGCTGGACAGAGAAGCCTGGGCTGATGGAGGGAAAGACCCTCTTCCTTAGTATTGTCCTCTTTCGGAAAATTGACTTTTTTTTTTATCATCTCTGGTCACACCAGCTATGTGTGTAAGGGTGATTGAATTATAAGGCAAACTGTCAGATCCAATAAGTGTGCATCAGGAGACGGCCGAACAACGTTCCAGAAGCAGAGGACAAAGGTGTAGTTTCATCTGCAAGCGGGGCTTTCAAAGACTGCGTTGTTGAAACTTGAGAAGGTGGAAAAATTCAGTTGCAGTGCACAAGCATTAGCTAATCTAGTGGTAGATGTTACTTTCTACAGGTTCTAGCTGTCAGGCCAAGTTTATAATCCACATAAAAACAAACAAAAAAAGGCAACGAGCTTGTCTGAAGCAGAGTCGAGTATCTCCACAGAAAATACCACCGAGTCCCTATTATACCGAGGTCAGGGGAGTATAGTGTCTGTATTAAGCACTGAGATTATACTTGGCCATCTTTACTGTGGGTTGTCTCTGCTGTGTCCTTGTTTGCCTTTTGAATGTCCTGTGAAATCAGAGATGCTGCTGAATTTTGCAGTGTTTTTCACTTCTGTACACCCCCCACCCCCAAAAGCATTACCTCATTCTGCTTGGTGTAAATCTATCAGCTCTGGTATGAAGTCATTTCTGCTTGAGCTTTAGAAAAGGCGTCTTCTTTTCCAAGTGAGCTTTTGTCTGTGCCCCCTCCTCCTCCTCCTCCTTTTAATAACTGTCATTTTCTCTGTGCGTTACCTCATGTTTTGGCTGCAGCCCAGATGAATCCGGAGGGGAAAAAAGCATGCTTTCAGACCAATTCACGCACATATCATTTTTCTTTTCATTAAGAAATTACTCTTTGAAGAAAATCAATAATGTTCTATGACTGAGGGGGAAAGAGGTGAGCGTTGCCCTGGCAATTCTAATCTCTCAAATTAGACTGCCTTCAGCCAGATGGTGCTGATGGAGAATTTGTCCTTTCTTGTTCCCGCAGCTTGGGCACATGGTGACCCCAGGAAAATGGCCTACCCTACAGACAGCCAGGGACAATTATGTGGCCAGAAGGGAACACCAAATGAGTGAGTATGGCCACCTATGCTTTGCATGGTCTTTCTGTCTAAGCCGGAACCTACACATATCAGCCTAGTCTCATGGGACTTCGTAGAAAGGCTGAGAGTCAGGAGGTTTCTTCTGTCTCTTCTTACAGACAGCTGTAAGTGATTTGGAGATACTATGCTCTGCATCTCCACTCTGATCATGGAAAATAAAATCAAAAGTAAGGATGGAACAGCGGCTATATTTTGATGCCCTTTGGATGGAACAGCGGCCATGTTTAGATGCTGTTTGTGTTGGGCTCTTGTGTGACCATATTGAACAGTGGTTGAACTGCCTATACCATGCTTCTGTTGGGCTGTTTTTGCTATAATGTTTACTGACAATCATTCTGATTTTTGTAGCATTCCTAGGTCTTCAATGATCTTTGGGAGCAACTTGACAACTGCGGTCAGCACGCAGACAATGGGTAAAAACATGCCCAATGTCAATCATATCAGAGATGTCTGTTTCTGAAAGCAAGCTTTCTATTTATTTACTTAAAATCAAACAGACAGACAAAAACTACGGCTCACAGTTTTAGAAAACTTTTATCCCTTTCTTATGGTTCATTTCTTCTTTTGTCTTCCCTAATGAGTAGAGTTGCTGCTAGATATTCTGGCTTTTTGCAACCAGTTGAGTTTCTGGCTTTGAACAATTATGGAACACCAAAAGTTCAGTCAACAAGAGGGTTGCAGTAGAAACACAGTCCAGAATGCTCAGTCCTGTCTCTGTAGTGCCACCCGTAACCGAGAATGTATTATGGCAACAGGTATATTGATTTAAAGACAGGCATTCAGTAAAGGGCTGAAGAATCCATGGCAGAATAACTTCGAAGAAACTAGGAAAACCGGAGGTTTGGAGGAGGGAACAGGAAACCCTTAACCATATCAAGGCAGATTTGGAGAAAGTTTCCCCTACAAAAAGCCTCTGTGTAACAGACACCTGAACTAAATTTGAATCCTGGCTCTAAATGTATTTTAACCTTAGAAAACAAAACAAATAAATCACACACACACACACACACACACACACACACACACACACACAACCACCACCACCACTACCACCACCACCATAGAAATCTCTAAATAATCAGGTTTGAAACAGGCAGTTTTTAACAGGGTTTGTATAACAAGTGTTCCAGGCCTCATCCCCTGACCCATTTACCTCGGACAAAGAGGTGGCACCCCAAACTGCAGTATATAAAGACTATCCAGAAATGATTCTTGCCTAACAGACTATTTACTCAAATACAAGGTCTGGTAAAAATTAGTTTGAAATGGAACAGATTTTAGCAACATGTGAGCCGCAGTTTCGGTCCCTCCATGTACTGAAATCTAACAGACCTCTTGGGGAAAGTAGCCATGATTGCAATAACCAGCTCTGTTCATATTGCTTTTTAGTTGTATCGGGGTTACAATCCTGAGAATATCATTTGCTTGTATTTCTATAGTTCTTCTTGTAATTTCCTTTTATATATTTAAATTTCCAACTTAGCTGGAACTTATTTTCTATATAAGTTGGTTAAAGCAGGAGTCAAACATTTTTTTTCCAACTGCAAAAAAAAAAAAACCCAATTATTTCAAAACATTTTGTTGGATAATAGAATTTTTATATTTTCAATTTCCTACAAAATTATTGCATAATTAACATATACTTTTTTCCTGAACTTTAAGCCTATATTAACACATTTAAGCCTTCCAAACCTGTTTAAAAGTACACTATTTGTGTGTGTGTCTGTGTGTAAACATGTATATATAGATACCCTCGAGGCCCAAAGAAGTCATTGGATCTTATACTGCCTGGTTTCTATACCAACTTACCACAAGCTAGAGTCATCAGAGGGGAGTAAGCCTCAATTGAGAAAATGGCTCAGTAATATCTAGTGGTAGGCAAGCCTGTAGGGCGTTTCCTTAATTAGTAATTGGCATGGGAGGGCCCAGACCACTGTGGAGGATGCTGATAATTCTGGGTTCTACAGAAAGCCAACTGAGTGGGCCATGAGGATGAAGCATTTTTGAATGCATTTTAAAAACTACTTGAGCTGTGTTAGCTTTCCATCACTCCAAGGAAACACAGAAATGAGTAAAAAGAGCCAAGCTTTGTTTGGCCATGGTTTCAAAAGTTTAAGTTTATGATTTTTGTATTCCTGTTGCTTGGTGATTGCATAGTGCACCAGGGCAGAAGCCTGCAGCAGACGAGGCATGATCATCTCTCAGGAAAGCCGAAACAAAGAAACAGAAACCAGCCGCAGTCCCCATCACTCCGTCAGAGGCTCAACCTCAGTGAACGAACTTTTTCCCAGTAGGACCTACTTCTGATCGGTTCAAACATTTACCAATACTGTCACCTACTGGGACCTAGCCTTTGAGGGTGGCCTGTGGAAGAACTTTCAGGGAGACTTGTACTGTCTACTGTCACGTCCAAAACAGTAACAAGGAAACTAAACAAGCACTTGTAGCCGGTACTAGGCAGTAGTCAGAATGCAATGCAAACAGTCTCCTTGCCTGTCAAAAAGAGATTGATTAAACGGGCTATGATTTGATTATATAAGGAAATACCATTAATCTTTCACGGTACTGTGTACAGGTGGGATTTTGACGTGGAAATGTGCCTGGTAAGTATGGTTCAGCTCAAGAAGCAAAGTTGTGCCAAGTGATGGCTTAGTGGGTGAAGGCGCTTGCTGCCACACCTGGCCCTCCTGAGTTCATTCCTGGAACCCACACAGTGGAAAGAGAGAGCTGACTCCTGCAAATTGTCCTCAGCCTTCCATGGAAGGGGCCAGGGAGATGTCTTAATTAGTGCCTGTTGAGTAAACATGTAGACCTGAGCCCAGTCCATCCAATCCATGTTTTAAAAATTGAATATGGTGATCCATGCTTGTGAGCCCAGTGCTGAGGGTCAGCGGGAGTCAGATCACTAAATCACAGGGGCTCACCAGACACCCAACCTACTTGGTGAACTCCAGGCCAGTTAGGGACCCTGTCTTTAAATAAAAAGTGGTCGATGCCTGAGAAATTACATCTGTGGTTACACACACACACACACACACACACACACACACACACACACGGACGCACGGACGCACGCACGCACGCACGCACGCACGCACGCACGCAGGCATATCAGATGTAATGAAATAGACTTACATGTAGTTTTTAACTAGAACCTAAAAATGTGTTCAATGAAGGAAGACAGTAAATAATAATGTGTATATTTCTGTGCCAGAACGCAGTAGGTGCGTCTCAAGATGAGCAAACCCAAGCCAGGGCCACACTCCCGTCAGTGTAACCACAAGAGTGATTGTATTTGTCCTCGAAAGCCTTGCCTCTGTGCTTTGGTTCTCCATTGTAGAAGAGATTCCTCATAACTGGACGCAGAGCCTGTGTTTTGACAGGAGGTTGACATACCTGGGATAGTGAAGAATCCTGAATTTTATGCTCTATCTACTCCAACCGGAAAGGACTGTGGGAGAAAGACTGACAGTTTCCTGAAATTTCAAACCAGATGAAACCCAGGCTTCAGAGGGAAAGACTTTGTAGCTATGTGTAACTTTCTCTGCACTGGGGAAGTTGCTCACTATGTTTGGCTTCGATGCCAAAGCAGGAATTTGGTTGATTGTGGTGCCACCTTCTGGTTACTACAAGAACTTCAGCTTACAAGGTTTGCTGGAAGGGTTTTCAACACAGAAAGACTGTGAAGGAAAACAACCTTCAGATCACCATAGAACTGATCACAAAATGACAACTACCCTACTAATCTGTTCAAATATGTGACCAATCCCAACCTCCTATTCTGTTTAATTTTTAAATTTTTTATAAATTTAGACATAGAGCCTGTGTCTCTAGAGGACATTGTTGTACCTGAGATGGTACACCAAATTTTGCGCCAAATTTTAAAATTTAAAATAACTACATGTACTTGAAAGCAAATTACATGATAATGATGTACCTATAACAAAAGGAATGGCCACCCAGCTTGACTCTTTGCCCATAATTGATTCCATAGAGATATTCTTTCCTGGCTCTAGTTTAGTTCTGGCAAACCTAAAAGGGGGGACTTTGACCCTTTGACTTTGGCCCCTTGACCAAGCAGAGAGGGGCCACCCAGAACCCCCTCTGACTGGCGATCTGAATTCTTGCTTAGGCTGCGAGGCTAAGCACTGCAAGGGAATATAAATAAAAGTTAAAAATATCTCTCTGGGTTCCCTGAGGGACAAGCCTGACTGCATAGGGGTTGATGTCAAAAGTATCCCCTCTCCAGGAAAAAGACATCGGGATGGGTATGGCCCCCATGCCTCACTGGACAACAACAGGGGGACTGGAACCATTACAAGGTCCCCTTCAATTACTGGAGGTCAGGCCTCTATCCCCGCCTTCGTAAGATTATAATCTCCACAGCCCTTCTATACTTAGAGAAGGGAGGAGATGTCAGGGGCATCCCTGCTTACACACTGAAGGCCTAAAACCAGCCATAGGCCTAAAATCAGCAGTAGGCCTGTCATACATGTATACTAACACCAAGTCTTGGGTCTCTGTGGAAAAACATTGAAACAGATGGCTATAAGCTATTGCAAACAGGCAGCTTTTGTGGAAATTTACCAGCCTGAGTAGTCATAGACCTTGTAAATAGGTAGCCTTGGTGGATAGTACCAACTTAGATAAGGACAAGTGAATCATAGGCAGAGTCATAGTGACCTGTCCCCTGAACCTTCACCCAGCCAATACCCTGTTCTGAAAGATATCTGTATTCCCCCTGAACACCCTCGCTCCAGTGTCATCCCCTTCCCCACATCCTGCCTTTCTGTGTTTATAGCCCCTGTGTGAATGAATTACCATTTGAAAAAAAAATAAATTATTTTTAAAAATGCAAAATAAGTATCTTTTGGTGGTGTTCCTATTCTATTGGTTGATACTTTGTTAACTTTAGGTGGTCTCCGTTGATAACCTCCCCTGGAAAACCAACATTGTTCCTCTTTGTATCT